CTTGGGCTACGTGAAATAGATAAGCTATTTGTTAGTAGCTAGTGACTACTCTCTCTCTTACTTTTCCCTTGTCCACGTCATAATAGCTAGCCAAATAGCTAACCATTGGAGGTGATCTAAGAATCAAAACAATTAGGAATATGTAACTTTCAGTCCCAACTATATAAGATCCTAAGAATACACATTGGCATATAAATCCATAACAAAAATTAAATACTCAAAACCTAACACATCATTACGCGTGGAACAAGCTGCATGATGCTCCTAGGTACTAATTCCCCTATATAAATAAAAAAATTAGGAAAAATGTTATAGTCTCGTTACGGAACCATCCCGTCAAGTGTTTTAACCGTTAGATCATCTATCTTGTATTAACTACATGAGCATCCAACGATTAAAACTCTTGACAGGATGATACCATAACGAGATCGTAGCACTTACCAAAAAAATTACGCAAATTCTCACATACATTTTTCTCATGCTCCATAATACAATTTTAAAAATAATGAAATGATCCATTAATGCCAATAAGATATAACAAATGAAATAAACATAAATAAGATGGAGAGATTAATAATAGACAACTTATTAATAATTATTACATTATCTCAATATTCATAGTCCAAGAACCAAAAAAAACAGAGAGATAAAAAGGGATGAAAAGGGCTCTTAACAGCACAAGAAAACCCAAAAATGATCCTCAAAAACCTCACAAAGACAAAACATAATCAACCCCAAAACAAAATCATCTCTCATAAACAAAGACATAATCAAACAAAAATAGACTCCATAACAACCTCAGCAACTGAATTATCCAGTCCTTGCAAAAAAACACTCATTCAAAACACTTGGACAAAAGTCTTCAAGACAAACCATAATAATGGTAATAAGACTAACACTCTACTAATAATACTATTCATATATAAATATTAATCCTACTAGCTGCAAAACTTATGGGCATGCTATATTGAGGGACACTCCATTCATCCCTTCATCCATCCACGTAAACGTTTCGTTACACGCATCCAAGTCCAGATCGAAATCAAAATCCGGCAAAGAATCCGGGTGATCCTCACCATCCAGCCCGCAAATCGGGAATTCGTCAAAACCAATTGCGAAATCATCCAACGGACCGAAATCACCACCATTAACGAGCATGTCGAGCTCCACATCCAAATCCAGCTCGTCCCCGATTTCCGCCAAGTCAATCAGCTCCTTGTTCAAGAGGCCAATCTCAGTATTAGTATCCTCATTCTTCTCAACAACCTTTGCCTCCACAAGAACACCGTCCTCAACCTTTGAGCTAAGGGAGTCGAGCTCCAAAACCGACGATGGGGAAGTGTGCGAAGCAAGCGACTCAGAGCTGCCGCTCGAGACCTCAGAAAGCTGACGGCTGAGGGTATTGTTGTCATTCGAGCTCTTACCAGAGAGGGCAGCAGCAGCCTCAAACTCGAGTCGCTTGGACTCGTAGGCCCGGGAGGCCTCCTCAGCGGTGTTGTAAGTGCCCAGCCAGACCCGTTTCTGCTGGAACGGGTCGCGGATCTCAGCGGCCCATTTGCCCCACTTCCTAAGACGGACGCCTCTGTATCTCCCGATGGGGGGCGGGTTAGGGAAGCTCTGTATCTTCTTTGACCCCTTCCCGCCATTGTTGCTCTCTTGGACCGAGCTCTCGGGTTCAGAGGGTTTTGTTAGGCGACCCGAGTTTGCGGTTGGGAAAAAGACTTCTCGGACTATGCGTTTAACCCTCTTCTCAGAAGATCCCTCGTCATCCGAAGAGTCGGTGGCGTCCGGATCGTTGCAGATGATGCGGACCTTCTTCATGGGTCTGGCCGTCTCGGGTCGAACTCTCTGTTTTCGGACAACGGGTTGTTTGTTCAATGGAACCGACTTCTGAAGCTCAGACATCTTCTTTCTCCTTCTACTGCTTCTCTCTTTCTTTTCTCAGTTAAAAATTTTGATATGAAAAACCCCTCAACAAGTACACCCAGCTAATTTATTTCCTCAAAATTGAATTACTCAACGAAATCAAGAAAAACTTCAAAAAAAAAAGGGATGTTTTAAAAACGAAAGCACTATCAGATGAAAGAGTTTCTTTTCAAGTAAGAGGGCCTAAAAGATTGAACAACCGATTTATGTGGTAACCCCCAAAACACACAACTCCAGAACAAGTCCTGCAAACAAACACCAAAAAAAAAAAAAAAANNAAAAAAAAAAAAAAAAAGCAACCGAAAAATCACAGATCAGCCCAGAAAACCCACAAAACCTCTGAATCAACCAATCAAACCAACACGAACAGCCACTAATTTTAACCAAAATGGAAAACAAAATCACAAAGCAAGAGGGTTTTAAGAAAGAGGGTTTGTAGGGTTTACATACCTCTTGGGCCTCAAACGCATCGAAACAGTCGGGTGGAGAGAGGAAGCGCTCTGCTGGAGTACTCCACAGCAGAGGGATCTTCGCATGCAGCGGCGACCAGAGCTTGAAGATAGCGGCGAAGAACAGAGCCTCGACTGAGCCCCAGAAACAACAGCAGCCAAATCGAAACTTGCCGACATAAAACTCTCTTGCTCCGACCCGCCTTATCTCGAGAGAAAGCCAAAGCCCCCCTTATCAGAAACTCTTCAGAAACCCAAAAAAGAGAGAGGGGAAGAAGGACTGTCAGATTCACCTATATATATATAGATGGGTGAAGATAACACTTTCTATATATCTCTACCGTAAAAAGAAAAAACAGAGGTGTGTAAAAGGGATTAGATTAGATATCGATGGCTGTAATTTCTTGCCAATACACAACAAAAGATCTTTTGCAGAAACAACGCAGACTTGATATTGAAAGAGAGATGAAGAAGCCTCTGATGTGTGACGAGTACTTGTGAGTGTAAATATAGAGTGCAAAAAAAAGGTGAACTGCTATCAAAATTTTGCCTTTTTTTTTGTGGGTTTTCCTTTTTTCTTGTAAATAATTAATTAATTTTTTTTTTTTTT